TTCTCCCTTCTCCCAACTGGGGAACCCCTGGCAAACGCTAATCCTTTCACTGTCTCTAGTTCTGCCTTTCTCAGAATGTCATGTGGTTGAAATCAAAGAATGTGTAGCACTTTCAGATTAGCTTCTTTCGCCTAGTAATATGCATTTTAAGTTTCTGCCAGTCCTTTTCATGGCCGGACAGCTGCTTCTTTTAAAAAAAAAAAAAAAATCTTCATTTGACTGTGTCAAGTACTGCAGTACTCAGAATCTTCATTGCATCACGTGTGATCTTTCCTTGTGGTGCACAGACTCTAGTTGTGTCTCTCAGGGTCAGTAGTTGCAGGAAGCAGACTTTGTTGCTCCACAGCAGGTGGGATCTTACTTCCCTGACCAGGGATTGAACCCAGATCCCTTGTATTGCAAGGCAGATTATCAACCACTGGACCAAAAGGGAAATTGTGCACATCTCTTCTTAACACTAAAGAATATTTCATTGTACCACAGTTTATTCTTCACCTATTGGTTGCGTCCAGGTTCTGTCAATTAGGAATAAAACTGCTATAATCATACATGTTCAGGTTTTTGTGTGCACACACTTCAATTCCTTTGGATAAATACCAAGAACTATAATTGCTGGATCAGACTGTAATGTTTAGCCTTGTAAGAAACTGCCAAACGGTCTTCCAGAATGAGCTGTACCATTTTGTATTTCTACCATCAATGAGTGAGAGTTCCTGTGGCTGCACATCTTTACCAGCATTTTGTGTTGTTAGTGTTTTGGTTTGGGGCCATCCAAAAAGACGTGTAGCGGTATCTCCTTTTATTTCCAATTCTGGAAAGCCTGGCGTGCTGCAGTCCATGGGGTCACAAAGAGTTGGACACAATTTAGCAACTGAACAATGACATGCAGTGTTAGGAACCTTTTTCACGTGCATATTGCCGCCTGTATGTCTCTTTGGTGAGGAGTCTGTTCAGATTTTCTGCCCAGTTTTAAAATTGAGCTGTTGGGTTTCTTAACTGGTGAGTCATACTATCCACTTTTCTACCATTTACATTTTTATCTTAACATTCTTCGCAAATTCTGGCCAGTTCAGTTCAGTTCAGTCTCTCAGTCATGTCTGCCTCTTTGCGACCCCATGAACTGCAGCATGCCAGGAGTTCACCCAAACTCATGTCCATTGAGTCGGCGATGCCATCCAACCATCTCATGTTTTACTCAGTTTTATGTCATCCTAGTTACTAGATGTATTTCACTGGGTTACTGTACCATACTTTAACAGGCTGCTTATAAAGGAACAATATGCTGATGGGTTTCCAGTTTCTCATTACCATAAATGTTCTGGTGAACATTTGTTCATATAGTTGTATGTATTTGTCTGTTCTAGTTATCTATTGCTACATAATATACTTGTAAACTTAGTCATTTAAAAGAAACATTTTATTGGAACTCAAAACTTTTATGAGTCAGGCATCCCAGCAAGGCTCAGTTGGGTTATTGTTTTGTTCTATGTGATACGATACAGATCTCCAGAGTGGCTGGAAGGTGGCATTCAACTGGTACCCGCACCAGAGCACCTAGAGTGTGGCCTCTCCAGCCCAGAGCTTCTAGAGAGTTCTGAGAGGCCCTGGTGGAAGCTGCCAGACTCTGTGACCTCACCTGGGTCATCCCAAGACGACACCTGACCACATTCTGTTGGTCAAGTGAGTCCCTGGAGCCAACCCAGACTCCAGGGGAGGGGAAAGTAGACCCCCACCGCTCAGTGGGAGGATAGCACTGCTGTGGCCGTATAGGTCAGCACGTTGTCGTCTTGGTCCTTTAGGATCCCTGCTCAGAAGTGTGCTGCTGGCTCAGAGGGCGTGTTGTAAGTGCTGTATTTCTACATGCGCTGGCCCAGGGGACAGTTAAACTGACACTCGACTGAGTATGTTTCTACTTCAGTTAACCCTGGATTTCATCAGGCTTTATTAGCTTTGCTTAACATGATAGGGGGAAAAAAAGAACCTCAGTGTTTGTGTCCCTTTGATTTTAAGTGCAGCTAAGCAGATTTTCACAATTTGTTGGCTATTTGTAGTTTTTCTCTCACGGTATGTTCTTTGCCATCATCTATGGAGAAATAAAGGGTAGTGGCCTTCACATATCAAAGACACAAGCAGTCTGTTTTCTTTCATTCACGTAAGAAGACTTTATGAATTCTCTTACAAAGACCATTTTGCTGTTTAGTCACTAAGTCATGTCCGACTCCTTTGCGATCCCATGGACTGTAGCCCACCAGGCTCCTCTGCCCATGAGACTTCCCAGCAAGGATACTGGAGCGGGCTGCCATTTCCTTCTCCAGGGGACCCTCCCGACCCAGGAACTGAACCCACCTCTTCTGCACTGGTGGCAGACTCTTTACCACTAAGCCACCAGGGAAGCCCAGAGACCATTTTAGAAACTGCAAAGATGAGAGATGATTCTCTCACTATTGTAGACTGAAGAAAAAACTGCACAACCTAAACGTTAAGAATTAAGTTTTATCTGGAGGACTTTCTGAGAGACTGCTTCGAGGAGGTAAGGAAGGAACCAGGACATATGAGAGTTTTGAGCAAAAACCACATAGTCAAAACATCGAAAGAGTACTATTGACTAACCAGACGTCTCAAGTGAGTCGATTTAACGCTTTTATGTGTATGGGAAAATGCAAATGTGGGCTCCCTGGACTCACTCCTCTGGTGTGCGCCTTAATTCTCTGCGGCCAGGATCCTGCTTCTCAGGGGCAGCTGCAGCCGCTGCTGGCTTGATAGCTGCCACATCCTTTGTTGACTGATACAGCAGGCAGCATTTTTCATTCCTGCTTTTTATTTCTGTATGCTCTGGATAAATCTTTGATAACAGATTTCACACTTGGGACTACTGACATTCCGCCCAGTAGGCCTGTGCTGGGGGGGCTCTCCTGTGCTTGTCGGGGGCAAGCAGCACCCTGGGCCTCTCACACTGGATGCTGTCAGACCCGCACCCCAAGTCATGAGGGTCAGAATGTCCCCCACTTGAGAGCCAGTGCCTGAGGGTAAGCCTAAGCTACTCTAACAGAGAAACCCACCCAACTCAGTAGCACAGAAAAGACAGAACTTTACTTCTGGAACAGTCCAGGCGGCAGGCAGCCACGTTCCACGGGGTCACTCGGGGACCCGGACTCCTCCCACTGTGGCATCTGCCCCCAACGGGCCTTGCCATTGTCTTCCCAGTCAAGGCTAGAAACACGAAGACAGGGCTGGGGGCAGAGGCAGAAGCGGTCTGCTGTGTGTAGGAGACACAGCATGGCGCCCGCGGCTCCCGGGCAGGGACTTAGCCACCGAACCATGTCTACTTGCGGGCAGGGCTGGGAGGTGGCGTCCCATAGGGCAGTGGTGCGCCCAGCGCATCTCCTTCTGCAAGTACGTGAGTGCTGCAGCCTGAATGGCCCCCGTCAGAGTTCACATGCTGAATCCCTGAACCCGCAGTGTGACTGTGTTTGAGCAATAATTGAGGAAGAGAAACCAGACCTCTTCGCAGCTGTGCAGCGGGAAGGCCATGTGGGGACCCAGTGAGAAATTGGTCATCCGCGTGCAACCCAGAGGGAGACATCAGCCCTCCTGGCACCTCGAACTTGGCCCTCCAGAACTGTGAGGAAAATGTGCTGTTTAAGCCACCCAGTTTGTGGCATTTTGTTCTTGCAACCCAGCTGAGACAGGGAGAGGTTTTGATGGACAGCAGTGAAGACTGACTGATTGCTGGGATGGAAGGTGCATCACTAAGCAACAGGTACAGTCAGGGCTATAAGGCCTCTACTTAATGGAAAGTCTCAAACTCACACAAGCAGAGAGAACCTAACAGACTCCATGTGCCCATGGGCTAGTTTCAGCAATTAGCAACTTCCCTTCACCTGCCTCCATGCAGACGCAGGCCTGGCACCTTAGCTGGGATCTTCTGCACAAAGCAGATGCGCTTGTGCCCACCTGCCAGGCCTCCCTGGTGGACCTGCACTGCTCAGGGCAGACTGTGCTGAAAAACAGCCATGAGACTTGTCAGCACAGCAGGGAACAGAGGAACTGGACATACAGATGCCCAGGCTCTCCTACTCTTGTGTCAGGGATGCGAGGTGAAGACCAGATGCATAGAGGTACTGCAGTCACCCTGTGGCTGAAGGACAAGCTAAGAGAACTGGTGAGTTGCTGACCCAGCATCTGAGATCACTAGCAGCAGAAACAGTTCTTGGCTGCCTAACTCTGGACTCTGTTATGTGAGATAACTAGCTATCCAGATGATTTAAGCCAGTGAGGCTGGCATTCTGGCTGTTGGTGGTGTTCAGTCGCTGAGTGCTGCATCTTTTAGCTAAGTAAGAAATTTCACTCTACGTTTAGTAGTTTAGTATTTCCTGCTATTAAAAGGGCATCCACGGCTCCCCAGCATGCAGGGACAGACCAGCCAGGCTGCCCCCATTTCCATGGGTGACCAGGAAGGCTGAGCTGTCACAAGCTGAGGTACCGCCCATGTTCCTGCCTGTCAGCCTGGTGATGTGATAGAAGGCTGTCCAACCTCAGGAGGGTCCCTACTGTAAGCCCTTCATCCTTTTGAAGGCAAGGAGATGAAAGTTTCAGAACAAAACAAGTTAATCAAAGGCAATACTGTGCTATTAGTCTATCAATGACCTCTTGTAGATTGTACCACAGTAACAAAATACCCCAAAGTCGCGGTGGACTCGGCTCAGTTGTTTATTTCTGGCTGGTGCTCCCTGTCAGCGGCACTGGTGTAGCTTGTCTGTGTTCATTCCAGGATCCAGGGTGAAAAAGCAGCCCTAATTGTGCACATGTGGTTCTCAGACTGGGGATTGGAAGTTGGGGGGTGGGGGGGTTACCTGCACAACAGTTTTCTTCCTGAAAGTGAGCTCTGGTTACTCTACAAGTTCAACATCAAGGAAGGAAGCCTTGGGAGTAACAATCTACCACCCTTCCAGGATCCACAACCTAATCAAGTAAGGGCCCATCAGGAAAACGGAAAGCTATCACAGGTGTTCTTGGGTCACAGCGAAATCAGGGGCTTGCACAAGTGAGGTGGGGGCGGAGAGCCAGGCCAACTGTTGCCACGACCTCAGCCCCAACATGAGGTAGACCGTCTGGAGCTCGCGGGGTCCGCGGCCACCCCCAGCCCCCGAGAGCTCTCGGCCGCCTCTCGTCTGGGGAGCTGGCGCTTCTCGAAGACTCCCTGGAGAGCAGCCCTCAAATCCACGCCACATTTCTGGCCATCTCCGGAGTTCTCCGCGGACAAATCGAGCGTTCCAGAGTAAGTTCTGTAATGCGGCTCCCAGCACGTAACGGGCCTGACGCTGCTGTCCGCACCAAACCCCTAGGTTGAGGTCGGTCCCCCTCATGAGGATGCCTGGGGACGAGCCGTCGGAAGCCACGAAGCCCTGAAGGCAGGACCGCTAGACGGGAAGGCAGTGTTCACGCCCATAGGACGACAGCCGCCAACCTGACGGAGCGCTTCCGGGTGCGAGCCGGTCGCCCTCAAAATTCCCGCCGTCGAGGAGTGGGCAACGGGAAGGCCCCAAGGCTGCAGACCCGCGCTTTCGCAGTAAGAGCAGACACCTGCGCCAACGACAGAGGCCCGCGCGGGACAATGCGCGCCGACATTCTGGCCCGGAAGAGGCGGTACGACAGAGGCACTCCCAGGCCAGTCGCGCCGCTTCCGCCGTACTAATCCCAGCCAATCCGGGCACGCCGGCCCGTGTGAGCCAATCCCGGCGCGCGCCGCGCACGCCGGCCCACGTGAGCCAATCCTGGCACGCGCCGCGGACGGCGGCCCATGTAAACCAATCCCCGTGCACGCCGCGGACGCCGGCCCGCATGAGCCAATCCCCGTGCGCGCCGCGGACGATCACGGCCAATGGGCGGTCCGGGCGGTCTGGAGCGGTGGTGGCGGGAAGACGCGGCGATGGCGGGCCGCCGTGGCGCCCTCATAGTGTTGGAGGGCGTGGACCGCGCGGGGAAAAGCACCCAGAGCCGCAAGCTGGTGGACGCGCTGTGCGCCGAGGGCCACCGCGCCGAGCTGCTGCGCTTCCCTGGTGGGCGCGGCGGCCGGGCGAGCGCGGGGTTCTGGGGGGCCGGGGATGGGGACGCGACCCGGGACCTCGCCGGGCCCTGAGGGTGGGAAGCGAAGGCCTCGTGGGCCGGGCCCGCCCTCGTAGATCCGCGGGTTGGGGCGCAGGGCCCGGACCCTTGTGGCCCCTGAGCCTCAGCCGGACACGTCTGTGGTCCTTAACGTGCGACTGACGTGCAGTCAGTCAGGTCCTGTGTTTGGTGAGTCTCAATAGGTGTACAGACCAGCAGGCGTCTTCACAGCCAGAGTAATGACAGTCACCCCCAGAAGTTTCCTGGTGCTGTTTTGTAACCCAAGTCTCCGATTTGTTTTGGGGTTCCTCCACCCGCCCACCCTTGAGTGTTTACGTTCTGACTTGTTTTGTGTCATACTTTTAATTTTTAACGTAAAACATTGGTCTTGAAAATGCTTGTAAGAATATCATCAATGCTTAGGTATTCAAGAGAAGTTCAGGGTTTACAAACCAACGGTGACAGCAGTGGAGGGAAGATGCTTCCTTGAATATTTATTGTTCTAATCTTTAAGCCAGACAGTCTCCAAATCTTATACAGTTGACCCTTGAATGATATAGGTATGAACCACTCGGGTCCACACACACACACCTTTTTTCAATAAACACACAGTACTACACAGTCCTGGGTTGGTGGACTGCAGGAACGGAGAACCTCGGATACTATGGGCCAGCTGCAGCACTTAAAAATCCTTCTGGTGTCAAGGCAGGTCCTGGACCCGGTCTCCCTTGGCTGGCACTGCCTCTGCTGCTTCCTACCTGAGTTCCTTCCTCCTAAAGCTTTGTTTATCCATGGCGAGCCTGATCTCATTTTCTGTGTTTTTTCTCTCTTGTTTTAGAAAGATCAACTGAAATTGGCAAGCTGCTCAGCTCCTACTTGGAAAAGAAAAGCGAGGTGGAGGATCACTCGGTGCACCTGCTCTTCTCTGCGAACCGCTGGGAGCACGTGTAAACACCTTGGCCTTGCCACCCTCCCTGCTCTGTACTTCCCCTGCAACTCTGTGCGGCTCTTGTTTCTGAGTGGCTGAGAGTCATACTGGAGGCTGTACCTTTACACGTTCTTTTATTGACAGATTGCCAAAGCTCTAGTTAACACCCGCCCCCCCCCCCACTCCTTTTGTGATGTTAGGTCGTTTCAAGTGCACAGAAAAGCTGATGGAGATGTACAGAGCGTCCCTAGCTCGTCCGCCCCCACCCGGAGTCTGTCTTAGTTATGTCTTGGATAAATCAGTGTGACACGTCACTTAGTGAGGCTGACAGTTGATGTTGGGGTTTGCGCTCTTCTGCCCTCTCTTTGTTGTACATCACCTTGGTGGGACCCCTCTTTACCCAGCACAGTTGTTGACAGAGAACCCGTGGGGCACACTCCCAGGTGCTTCTGTTCCCATCTGCACATGTGTGTGTCAGTAACACGTGTGTCCCGGAAGGTGTTCTGACACAAATGGGGTTCTTGCGGACAGATCACCTCACGGCATGCTTCCTAACTGCCTCGCGATCTGCGTTTCGCTCTCCTCTCAGTTCCTGCGGCCTGCTGTCCAGAAAGGCTGCTCCACCATGGATGGAACGATGCCTGCTGGTGGGTGCGCGAGTGGCTGTGTCTGGCACCCTCCCACGAGCAGGCTGGCACTGCTCCCTCTGGCCTTGGCTGAGCCAATTTGTTTGTTCTTAATTTATTTTTTGGTTGCACTCAGGCTTGTGGGATCTTAGTTCCCGAACCAGGGATTGAACCTGTGCCCTCTAGGTGGAAGCGCAGAGTCTTAACCATCTCGCTTCATTGGCATCACCAGGGAAGTCCCAGTGAAGCCATACTTATAACCTTTAGCACATCTAAGGTTCCTCGACCTGGGTGTTCTGATTTTTGCTTTTTGTGGGTTAGTAGAAAATAATGTCAGGTCAGTTTAGATTGAGAAACAGGACTGCTCCCCTCAGGGCTGGCCTTGCCCAGGCGTGCTGGCCTGTGCGCCCCAGTCCGTTTGTTCTGCCACAAGTCCCCTTCAGGTCACCCCGGCCACTCCCATCAGATCAGTTTTTCTGACCCACGGAAGTCCTTGGCTGACAGGTTGGATTCTGGGCCACAGTCTGGCACCATCGTCCACCAGCTGCGTGACCTAAGTCTCGCCTGGCATCTCAGCCAGAGCTTCCTGGGCAGTGCCGTGGGCAGAGCGCCCCTTGCCTGCGGTGCTGTGTTCTGCTAATGCCTCCACTTCCTCCCTGTCTGTCAGAACCTGCTGGTCCTCCAGGGCCGTCCAAGGATTTATTCCTAGCAGTAAGCGTCGTTCTTTCTTGCTTTCCATAGCAGTTTAGCAGCACCTTCCCAAGCCTCGCCTTTTAACAACGTGCTGTCACATTTGTCTTACCCTTGCTCTCTTTTTAAAGACCACGGGCTGTTAGTGAAATGCTGGGTTTGTGTTTCCTCCCGAGTGGATCTGGGCTTGCACTTTCACCACGCTACCACAGAAGTGACGTGGGTCCTCTCGAGGGCAGGAGTCCCCATGCGAGCCCACTGAGGCATCACTGGTGGTCTCCCTTGATTCCTCAGTGAGAGGGCTGCCGGCTCCGCTCTTCCACTAAGGGGCTTCTTCCTGTGAAGAATACTGTGTAAAAACCCTCTTGTCAAGCTGACCGCTGGGTTAGCAGTGGCACTACTGGTAAAGAACCCTTCTGCCGCTGCAGGAGACATAAGAGAATCAGGTTCGATCCCTGGGTCAGGAGGATCCCCTGGAGGAGGAAATGGCAACCCACTGCAGTATTCTTGCCTGGAGAATCCCATGGACAGAGCAGCCTAGTGGGCTGCAGGCCCTGGGGTCACAGAGTCGGACACGGCTGAGTGGCGTAGCACACAGTAGCCCTGTCTGAGGTGGTTACTGTTTCTCTGACGTCTTCATTCCTCCTACATGGACCAGCTGGGTTCTGTGTAAAGAGCTTTCCTGCTCTGCTGTCTGTCCGTCCACCATCAGCGTGGACTCAGTGGGACATCCGCCTCTGCTGTTCGTTGTTTGCTGCTCAGGTTGTCCCAGACAGGGCCTGCAGGACCCCTCAGGCTGGCTCCGCCGCCCCTCTGACGGGTCTGGCTTCCCGCGCCTTCTGCGGTAGCTGAGACCCGCTGCTCTCCTCTTGGTGAGAGAGGTGTTTAGCAGCCGACCTCTGCTCTGGGGTGCACGCTCACGTTGCGCATGTCTGCCTGATACCGACCGTCCCGTCCGGCACCTTGGGCTCTGCTGGGCTCTGCTCACTTGCTGCGTCCTGCCCGCCATGGGGTAGTTTCAGAACCGCCACCCCATCTGCGTTCAGCGTGGTCGAGCTCGAGGTGGCTGCAGCTCAGTGATTAGAGCAGGACACGGTCTGTGTGCACATGTCTCAGACGTGCTTTTCCCTCTTGCTGTGTTTTCCTTTGGGATCCAGGTAGGTTCATTTAACTTTGTGTATAATTTGGGGTTTTTTTCTCCCCATTGTTGACCTCAGTTTTTGAACACATGAGACATGAAGTGGTTCTAAGAGTCAGAGTCACATAGAAAGCTCACTGTCGTCCACTGTGGGTGAGCAGCCCCCTTGGTATCTGAGGTTGGCGGTGCCTGTTGTCTTGATTCACCTTCCGCTGAGCACAGAGGTCCCACCCGTGCGCTCTGCTCGGCCTGGTCAGCAACGCGTCGGGGGCGTCCTGTGCTCGGCCGTGGGCTCCCTGCCTGCGGGCTCCAGAGGTTGTGAGTGTCAGCAGTGTGCACTCAGAAGCGACGCTGCGGTGAGGGGCCCTCTCCCTGTTCGAGGCCCCCCCAACCCATCTCCTCTGGCGCCGGGCATCAGTGGGCCATGCTGCTGGCGATCGTGCGGCCTTTTACCCGTCTTCCTGAGACCCCGGGCCCCCTGTGGAGAACGTCCTTGGCCCCTCCTGTCCACAGCCGGCCTCCCAGGAGGGGACACAAGCATCTGTCGTCCCCTCGAGGCCGCGTCCACCCTTGCCTCCCCTTGTTCCAGCTTCTCCCTTCCCAGCAGGGCCTGGCCCCTGTGCCTGACAGCCGAGCTGCCCCTGGGCCTCTGCCAGCAGCACTTGTGTTCACGCCCCTGGTGGACTTGCCTTTCTGTTCCTGGCGTTGCTGGGGTGCCCATGTGGCATCTTGGGGAGAAGATCCAGAGCTTTGGAGCATGAAAGCCCAGCTACACATGGCCACCTTGGTGCGGCCCTGCACCCACTTGGTGTCTGAGCTGCACTGTGTTTTCAGGATGCTTTGAGCCTGAGACTCAGGAGCTGTAAAGCGGGACCAGGGCTCACAGGCTTTCCCTCTCTTGTAGGCCGTTAATGAAGGAGAAGTTGAGCCAGGGCATCACCCTGGTCGTGGACAGATACGCCTTCTCCGGAGTCGCCTTCACCAGCGCCAAGGAGGTGAGTGCCACTCGGCCCGGTGTGTAGCTTGCACCCCGTTTGGGCTCTGTGACCCCCTGTTCTCCCGGTCACTCAGACAGGACGAGCAGCCTCTTATGTAGCTGCGGGTTGTCCACGCAGATACAACTGCAGTTTTAACTCGGCCGACACACTTCACATCAGTCACGCAGGGGGTCGGTGGGCAGACCCGTTTCATGCAGCGTCTTGTTTTCAGGAGAGACGGTGAGAGTATCTGGGGTGCTGTTCTCCCGAACCCCCACTCCAGGGAGCTGCTGTTTCACAGGTACAACGGCCTGTGTGACTGCACGGCGCTTTGTCCTGCCTCTTATTTAGGATGTTCAGACATACCCCAGCAGAGAAAGGGCAACCCCAGCTCCAGCACCCGCCTCAGCGCACTCATCTCCGTGACCCACCAGGCACGGCGTCCACCCGTGAGCTCCTCAGTGCACATCCCCAGGAGAGCTTTGCACACCCTCGTCCCAAGCCTGGCGAGTGGGCAGCCATCCCCGAAAGTCCTGTCAGTGCCCAGATGCTGTCTGTTCACCTTAGGTTTTTACACTTAGATTGAACCAGGGTTTGGCTAATTAAGGTCCATTCTTGAAATGTCCCTTGACGCTCCATATGTAGGTTTCTACTTCTCTTTCCTTCTATTTAAACATTTTAGTTTATGTTTGCAAGGCTCCTGTCGAGGCATAGTGTCTTACAACGGTCTCTGATTATGGTTAATTCACAAAAGGTTGCAGAATGCTGACCCTTTAATTCTGCCTGTTTTCTGGCACAAGCAGCTGGGTCCTCCTTTAGGAGGGCCCTCCCGAGGTACTTGCCCCTCGGCTCCATCTGTGAACGTCTCATGGGCTCGGGAAGGGTGGACAGGTGCCCTCTGCCTGTGCTTGGGGCTCTGAGCCCACAGTTAGCTTCTAACCCTCAGGCTTCAGTGTGGCTGCGGGTCACACACTGCCTGGGTTTTCCTCCAGAATGGAAACACTGCTCCTGGAATTGCGAGGGTGAATGAGAGGGGATGTGCCACAGAGGGCACGCGGGGCACTGGTGAGGGTCTCCAGGGCTGTGGGTCTCCCCCTCCTCGGGACGGCAGGCCACCAAGGCCTGGCTGCTGCAGCCCCGTGGACTGGCTGCCGTTTGGCTGGAGGGTGTGGGATCCTGGGCCTGGGGCGTCCTGTGGACGGAACACAGTCTCAAGAGAGAAACCACATGAGGCCTAAAGGACACCCGCTGTCTTGTGAGAATTCTCCCCACACATCCCATCTCCCTCTCCCCCATCTTGGTGAATCTGGAACCAGAAATAAGACCACGTTATGCTGGTTCCCTCTCAGGGTGGTTCTTTGTCCCCAGAATTTCTCCCTGGACTGGTGTAAGCAGCCGGACGTGGGCCTCCCCAAGCCCGACCTGGTCGTCTTCCTGCAGCTGCAGCTCGCAGATGCGGCGGTGCGGGGCGAGTTTGGCCGCGAGCGCTACGAGAGTGGCCCTTTCCAGCAGCGTGCCCTGCAGCGCTTCCAGCAGCTCCTGGCAGACCCAAGTCTGCCCTGGAAGGTGAGTGCCGCCTGGGCCCTGGGGCTGGTGCAGGAGGGGCCGCTGCCAGACCCAGGAAGTCAGGGCTGCAGTGCGGCAGCTTGTGCGTACCTGGGTCCAACGAGGGACCTCCCATGCCCTGAGCACAGTTCCAGCCCTGGGCCCCGGGGGCCGGGAGCCATCCCCGTTGCCCCAGCCGCCACCTCCTGCATGGTCCCCACGGCCTCAGGGCACTTCCAGTCCTGGCCTGTCTCCAGCCTCCCTGCAGGTGGCGTCCATGAACGTGATGGGCCACACGCCTGCCAGTTGGGCTCATGCATCCCCCTGCCCTTGGTCCGTGCCTCCCGACTGCCCTGCTGAGTGGTGTGGCCAGGGCTCCCTGTGCAGCAAAAGCACACAGCTGACCTTGCCGCGTGTCTCGGGGTGCTCAGGGCTGGAGGGAAGGGCGTGCTTTTCCCCAGGCAGAGGCTGCAGTGTGGGGCCTCAACTGCCCTGCCCTCTGCTGGCCGGTTCCATCAGCTACTGAATGCCAGAGCTCACTCTTTTTCTGGTTTTCTTAATTTTCTTTCTTTTTTTTTTTTTCAATTTGTTCTCACCAATTTTTTATTTTTTGCCACACCCTGTGGCATGAGGGGTCTTAGTTCCCCGACCAGGGGTGGAACTCAGCCCCTTGCAGTAGAAGGCAGAGCCTTAACCACCGGATCACCAAGGAAATCCCTCTCTGGTTTTCTTTTTTAAGTAGTTCTATGTGGTGTAGATTATCCATGGTTCATACTGCGTTTCAGCACCTGCTGGGAACAAGACAGGAAACCACAGCAACGGGAGTTGGGAAGGGAGGGGCCGGTGGCTGCCTTCTCAGCTGGGTTCCCAGAGCTCTAGGAGCTCTGCTGATGTTCCTTGTAGGGTAGGTCCCCTCATAGGAGTCTTGGCTCCTGTTGATCTGAAAGTTTACTTTAGTTTTTTTGACATCTTTAAAGCAGTAACACACTTAGCGAAAAGTTTTAAGTCTTTAACAAGGAACTCTTCCGGGGACTGTTTGACGATAAGTTTCAGTACCTAACCCCGTCCCGTGTGGACCTGGGTCGTTCACACGGATCCTCTCCCGCGGCCCAGACGCCAGGTCCCCCCGCTGAGCTTTGTAAGCACGGACGTGGTGCCTGGCTCGTGGCTGCTCTCCTGCTTCTGAGCGTCTCAGCCTTGGTGCTTCGGAAGGCCCTGCAGGTTCCTCGTGGCTGAGCCTTAGATTGACTTCGTGTGTGGAGTCAGGTTGTCACCTTTGCTGGGTGGTTGCTGCCGTGTCACAGGGCGTCTGCCTTCAGCACGTCCGTTCCAGCCATGCTCGCCTGCACCTCGATCAGGTGGTTCATGGTGATGTCCCTCTGCGTTCCTCTGAGCAGGGGCTCTGAGACCACGTGAAACCCTAGCGCCCACAGACTGGTGTGCAGGGCTCACTCAGCAGCAACCTGCCTTCCTCACCATCCGAGGCCCACGCTTCCCGGGTCTGCCTCCGGGAGGCCCCTTCACGCTGGCCCCTTTCTGGTATCGTGCATCATGGTCTCGGCTCATCCTGGGCCTCCCTGGCCCAGCGTCTGCAGTGGCCCCGGTTCCGTTCTGTGGAGAGGCCCACGTGGGGGTTGCGGTTGTCTGAGGGCCTCTGTTCCTGGGGCTTGTCCAGAGTTTGCTGCCTGCCCCGCGGCTGCCGAGAGGCTCTTGCTGCACCCAGGGCTGAGCCTTGGCACAGGAGGGGCCCCGGGCATGCCTGCCTTGTGCGCCTAGTACGTGGCCCTTTCTCAGGCAGAGAGCGGTTCCTCGTGGGCTGGCTCCCTGGTGACCAAGGGTCCTGTGCCGTTCACCTCGGCGGCGGGGTCTCAGCAGCGGGGCTGCAGGTGTGGAGCAGCGGACGCAGACCTGCCTGGGCCTCCGGGCGGTGCAGGCGCAGCCATGGAGGGGGCTCATGCTGCCTTCACCACATCCGCTGCTGGCAGGGGGCTGCCGCAGAGTGCGGGGCGGCTCGGTCCCCTGGCGAGGCTGGGGGGTGAGGAGCCGAAGTCGTGCCCCCTGGACTAGCCCATGCACTGCCAACGTCAACACCTTGTGTCCCCTGCCCCGCACAGACAGTCAACGCCTCCAGAAGCATCGAGGACGTCCACCGGGAGATCCGCGCGCTGTCTGAGGACGCCATCCGGGCCGCCGCACACAGGCCCCTGGGGCAGCTGTGGACATAGGAGGCCAGCCACCTGTGCCCCAGAGACGCTTGTACATCACTGTGCTTTCCTCACTGAGGTCTGACAGCTGCGTCCAGCGGTCCCATTGGGGTCGCTGAAACTCTTAGCATGTCCTCGGACGTCATCAATAAAGACGAGATGGAGACGGTGGTGGCGGCTGGGGGCCCGGTGCGGTGCAGCATCCTTGCCTGGGGCCCCTGTGTTGTCGGCCTGGCCCGGCTGCGCCTGGGCTGAGTGCCAGCTTTGTGCCCTGGCCTGCAGGGCCCGGCCCAGCCGTGTGGGGCAGCATGTGTCTCATCTGAACGCGTCTGGCACATGCTGGTCATCCTGTTGAGATGGGAGACGCAGCTGTATAATCCTCTGCGTCCCGTCCCACAGTTATTCTAGGACAAGCCCTGCGGTGGGCAGGGTCCCTGTCTACAGGGCGCTGTGGGGCTCAGTGCTTCCCGGGTGTGGGCAGGAGGCTGGGCCCCAAGCAGAAGGAGACCACGTGAGAGGTCCAGGGGCCGGAGCTGGGGGAGAGCCCCCAGCCCTCGTGGGAGGGCAGAGGGGCCAGCGTCCCTGCACCTGCACAGCTGTGTGGCTGCTTCACAGAGGGCCCCGCTGCAGGCGCCAGGCCAGCCGCGGGTGCCCGCTGGCCTGAAAGTCCTGCGTGCGCGTCCACCCAGCCAGCAGCACACACTTGAGATCGGGGCAGCAACAGTTAAACGAGGCACGCATGGAGCTGGACTGCTGCATTCAAGAGTGCTGAGGTCGTCCATGGGGATGGTGGGCAACCCCCACAGTCTGCCTTCTGACCTTTCACACGACCAAGGCCACATGCTAGGGGACAAAAATGCAGCATGGGCAGGGGTCCTGAGTGCTGGCCATCAGGGAGGCTGCGGGCCGGGGCGGGAGACCCCTGACGGGGAACCCTCTGGCCCATGTTAGGACGGGGCCTCATGGTCCCTCGAGGCAGAAGGGTCTGGTCAGGGGAGACGAAGTTGGCTGTGGGGCGTGTATGCATGTGGGGTGCTGGGCCGGGGTGTGGGATCTGGAGAAGGGACTTAGCTAGGGCCCTGGGGAAGCCCTGCTGACCTCTGACCTCCAGAGTCCTGAGAGGTGCCTCAGCCAGAGTGTGGAGGCTCCAGAAGCCAAGCAGTTAGTTTCTAGAAGCCAGGCCTCGGGCTCCGGCCGAGGCACTTCCTGTCTGGCTCTGGCCCCCTCAAGCCCACAGCAGCAGGCAGACGGGCGGAAGCAGGGAGTGGAAGGGCTCAGCGTAGCTCCAGCACTCCCACCAGGACCTCCCAGGCGTGGCAAGTGGCCTTGCTCAGTCCTTCCTGGTGACCCGCTTGGGGGTGACCAGAGGCACTGGGCACCCAGAGGGACACTGCTTAGGGAGCTGCCAAGCGCCCAGCACCGCCACCACACCACACCCATGAGGAAGGAGCAGTCTGACCTCCCTGCGAGTCTTGCTTTAAATACAAACCACACAAGGTGGAAGGTGCTCAGTCGCTTCATCGTGTCTGACTACAACCCCATGGTGTGAGCCCGCCAGGCTCCTCCGTCCATGGGATTCTCCAGGCAAGAATACTGGGGTGGGTTGCCATTTCCTCCTCCAGGGGATCTTCCTAACCCAGGGATCAAACCTGCCTTTCCTGCATTGCAGGCGATCCTTTACCGCTGAGCCACTGGGTGGTTTTTCCAGTAGTCATGTACAGATGTGAGTGGGACCATAAAGAGGGCCGAGGGCTGAAGAACTGATGCTTTCAAATTGTGGTGTTGGAGAGGACTCGAGAGATCCAACCAGTCCATCCTAAAGGAGATCAGTCCTGAGTGTTCATTGGAAGGACTGATGCTGAAGCTCAATCTCCAATACTTTGACCACTGATGTAAAGAGCTAACTCTGGAACAAAAACCCTGATGCTGGGAAAGATTGAAGGCAGGAGGAGAAGTGGGGCACAGAGAATGAGATGGTTGGATGGCATCAGTGACTCGATGGACGTGAATCAGAAGAAACTAGATGGTGAAGGGCAGGGAAGCCTGGCGTGCTGCAGTCCATGGGGTCACATTCGGACACAACTGAGCGACTGGACAACAGAACACAAAGTGAGAAGCAGCACACCTTGCAGAGTGGGTCCGTGCAGGGGGCGCCGTGCACCCGGGCCTGGGAACAACGAGCTTGTAATGCGTGTCCACCAGGTCCTTCCCGAGGGTTCTTTCAAACAGAAAATACCACCCACCCTTGTTCTTACCATGACAGCTCCAGGAAAATCAAGACACGAATTTTGTTTTCTATTGAAACTGTTAATTATTTGCAGTAAAGAACCGCGAACTATACGACTAAGAGTGAACACTCTTCAGTAAGCTTTTCCCAACACACACGAGACAGTCCCCTCTGGTCGGTGGTCCCCCCTGGTGCCCCTGCTGCCGGCAGGAGCAGAGAAGACCCCATGCGCCAGTGGCAGGGGAAACGGAGACCCCCAGCTCTGCCTGAGGGACGGAGCAGGGGGAAGGAGACAAAAAGGGAGATGAAATAAGTTAGGTCAACAACACCCAGGGGGCAGGGTGCAAGCTGCCCCCTGGGTGGGACTCCTGGGAGGGGGGCCGCCCCCACCCGAGCTCCCAGCCAGTCTGCGCTTCCTGGTGGGACACAGGCCGTCAGTGGGGCCCAAACGCAGGCTGAGAGGTGGCAGGTGGCCCCGGGTCGGCGTGAGCAGGTCTAGGTGTGCTCCTGCCATGAGGAGCCGCACACCCGCCTCACGCCACATGTGGAAGGCTTGACCTTTGGACCCCAAACCATCTGAAGCCGTGCTGGCTGAGAGGGAGGCCCTGAGGAGGGGTGAGGCAGGGGCCTGCTCCGGGGGCATCGAGCTGCCCAAGTCCCCTACCCTGGGGGAAGCAGGCGAGACAAGCAAGCAGCAGCGCGGGGCCCGCAGCCGCCCCAGGGCTCTGGGTAGGCGGCACTGCCGTCTGGCACTGCGCACAGTAACATCTTTGGACCTGACTGCCCGCCCCCACCACGCCTCTCCTCCCAACGTGGGACGCCCCGCCGAGGTCCTTGGCCCCTTCTCCCACGGCGCCCTGCAGACTGCGTCTTTGGAGCCTGTCTCAGGACACGCCCAGCGGCAGCCATGTCCGTCACGGAGCTTCAGACAGGGCTTTAATTTCAAGGTGAGCGGCCAGGCCAGGAGGGCGCAGGGCGCCGGGCAGGGCTGGCAGTGCGGCAGGAGCACGTGCCCAGGGCCTCAGTCAGGCGGAGGCAGCTGGGCTGGGGCGCTGGGCGGCGGGCAGCGGGTGGACGAGACGCGGCGGCCAAGCGCCCCTGGAGGGCCAGTGAGACCGTCCCCACCTGCAGGACTCTCAGAGGGACAGGATCTCAAAGTCTTCATCTTCTGAGTCAAAGAATCTTTCCAGTCGCTCCGCATCAGAAGAATCTAGAAAAGAACGAGACAAAACCTCGGCAGACGCAGGCGTGGGTCACTCAGTCTGGGGGGTGGGGTTGAGGGTCAAGTGCCTGAGGGCGCACAGGCTTCACCCCACATCCCACCCACGTGCTCTGCAAGGAGAACGTCCTGCCGGGTGCCCGACTGTCAGGGCGGCCTGGATGCGGACAGGGGTGGGGCATCTGGGACTACCCAGCTGGGGCACCCTACTCCTGGCGGTGTCCGAACAGGCAGCAGAGCCCAGCCCTGAGACTCGGGGACAAGGGACCCCACAGAAGGGTGCTCAGGAGCACCACCTGGGCCTAGCGGGCATCTGTGCCCAGTGGCACGGGCACCCTGGCCCCACCGCAGGTCCCCTCTCCACGAGCTCCACTCACACTGGGAAGGTGCCCCCAGAACCATGGGGCCACGGGGACCAAGCCCCAGCGGCTGCTTTGCTGCAGAAGGCCTAACGTGTCCCAGCTCCCAGGAGCCCGGGGCGGCACGAAGCAGGCTCTCGTGGTGTGCCCCCCGGGACCCCTCACAAAGCCCCAGGGAGCTGCATGCGGGGCTCAGGCCAACGTGAAAGGCCACAGGTCAGCAGAACAGGCCCTGGGGAGGCCAGGGCATCACACAAACTGCACCCCGGCCTGAGACCCTGGGCGTCTGGACTCACCTAAGGACAAGTTGAGGACGTCAGGACAGGCCAGGTGGGAAGGCTGCTGCTCCACCAGCTCAAACATGGGCAGGGCGCCTCCCAGCAGGGACAGCTGTCAGCAGACTGAGCGTCAGGCCGCGGCAGAGGCAGGACACACCGGGCCGGGCAGCCTTCCCGGGCGACCCCAGGACTACTGGGAATCCCAGGGAGTCTGCGACCACAGCAAGGATGGCCAGGCGTTCCCAGGCAGGTGAGGCAAGCACAGCCCGGTGCAGGGCAGGCCCACTGAGCGTGGGGCTGGACCCCAGACCCCCGGCCAGCCTCCACCCCCCCACTCCACAAGACAGGAGCCACCACCAACCTTTCTCACTTGCTGACACCAGTCGTTAAAGTCGTCCTCAGTCTTACAAAAAAAACCCTGCAACCAACACCCGCCGTAAGTGGGGTTGCCCGGCCCTCACATGCACCCTGGACACGCTGGCCGCCTCGCTGTCTGGCTGCGGTGCCCAGGCCCACCTCCGCCCAGATGACCGAAAAAGGCCTGGCCGTGACGATGCCCGGGCACAGTAAGAGCCGGCTCCTGCCACGCCCTTGGCCTAGCCCTCCTGAGGGGACGCGGGGACACCCCCCCCCCCCCCCCCCCCCCCCGCTCAGAGTGCGCCAGGGTCGTGAGGGGACTGGGAGCGCTCAGCCCGCCCACAGAGATGGGAGCAGGAGCCGAGGAGAGACACCCGGGCACCACGCAGGCCGGGGTGAGGACAGGAAAGATGGAGGCCTGTGTCCCAGGAGCCGCCCTCGCCCCCGCCCCGAGGGTCAGCCACCTGCCCGCATCCCTGCCGCCAGCCTCAGACCCCACCTCGTTCTGAGGAGCTCACAGGCGGGCTCCTGCAAGACCACCACCGACGCCCTCCAGGGGGGCCACAAGCCTCTGGGAGTAACCCAGACCCACAGGCAGTGCGTTTGGGGTCGCCCCTTCTCAGGAACAAATGCCTCATGTCCACGGCTCGGGGGACCCATAGGTTCTTTTTATTTCCAGCAGTCCCTGGCCTCCCATAAATGTATTCTGAGCCGAACCAACCCTTCCCGCCTTGGTGTCAGCAGAGCACGGGCGAGGAGGTGCATTGTTAGGGAACACCCGGCAGACACAGAAGCTCAGAAAAGACAGCACAGAGCAGGAAGCTCGCAGGGCCGGGAGCCGCGGCAGGGGGCGGGGCCGGGGCCGCTCCTTGCGCTTCTGGGTTCCGAACCGCGCTACCATCACGCTAAGCGCACGACTCTAAAATTACGGGAGCGGGGGCCCTCCCTCCAAGAGCAGCAGCAAGACAGCGGTGACGCCGGAACGCACCACGGCGATGGACGGGTCGAGCTCCGCGATGCTCATCCTGCCGGGCGGGTGCTGGCAGTGGAAGCTCTCATCCGGAACCGGGCAGCGGTCAGAGGTCGCGACAGCCGGCTGCGTGGTGTGGGGGTCCAGGTAGATGAGCTCATCCCCTGGATAGGGGGTGGGCGGGTCAGTGAGGGCAGGGCGGCCCCACCTCAGCCCCCAAAGCCACGTCGGCCTGGCGGAGGCGGCTTCGTGTCCGGGATGGGGGGTTGGGGGGGAGCACCCTGAAGACCACCCGCTTCCTTCAACCGCAGCAGACCCCCACTCACCAACGTATCCGATGAAGTAGTGGGCACTGTTGGGCTTCCCCCCGATCACGCCCAGGGACTGGGGCATCCGGAAGCAGTGCTACGGGGGGGGGGGGGGGGGGGGCGGGCGGGGGTGTGAGCAGAGGCTCCTCCCCGCCCCCGCCGGCTGCCAGCACACCCTCACAGAGCAGGGCTCCCGACCCTGAGGTGGCAAGTCCTTCGGGGGAGCCCCAGGCGGGGAGAAGAGGACGGCGGGGCACCACGCAGGTACACACGGGGTCGGCCCAGCCCCGGGCTGGGCGGGCAGCTGTGGGGAGGAGCCGGCACAACCCAGGTGCAGAGGGGAGGGGCCGGCACAGACCCACCTTGAGCGTGCCCGCGTAGGCCGCGTTGACGTCCGCCAGCCCCAGGCGCAGCGGGATGAGCAGCACCAAGGGCCTCCAGGGCACCGTGCGCCCGCCGCCTTCGGCCCCCGCCGGGAAGCCGTTGCAGTGCCGCTCGGAGTCTGCGGGGAAGGCCTCGGCCCCAGCACAGGGAAGGCCGCTCCTGCACAACCTCCCTGCAAGAGGCAGACGCGTTCTCAGGGGCTGAACAGGAGCCGCGAGTCCCCCACCGCAGACACAGCTGTGAACAGTCCAGCGCGTCAAGCACAGCTCAGACTTGGGAACTGAGCCTAAGACAAACCTGCCACTACAGGGAAGACACAGTGCAGCTTTTCTATGTGTATCCAACTTCAAACTTTTATTGTCAACTACAGCATACAGCTTTTGAACTGTGGTGTTGGGGAAGACCCTTGAGAGTCCCTTGGACTGCAAGGGGATCCAACCAGTCCATCCTAAAGGAGATCAGTCCTGGGTGTTCATTGGAAGGACTGATGCTGAAGCTGAAACTCCAATACTTTGGCCACCTCATGCGAAGAGTTGACTCATTGGAAAAGACCCTGATGCTGGGAGGGATTGGGGGCAGGAGGAGAAGGGGACGACAGAGGATGAGATGGCTGGATGGCATCACCGACTCGATGGACATGAGTTTGAGTCAACTCCGGGAGTTGGTGATGGACAGAGAGGCCTGGCGTGCTGCGATTCATGGGGAAGCAAAGAGTGGGACAGACTGAGCGACTGAACTGAACTGACAGCATACACACACAGTGAGGCAGGAGAACACTTGTGTGCCCCCGGGAAGCAATGGTAAAACAAGCCCCGTGGAGCCTCCAGCCGGGTGGACGCAGCACTGATCACTGGCCTGAGGCCCCCTCAGCAAGGACAGCATCAAGTGGAAACGGTTCTGCTTTCTTTTTCTTCTGTCTAAACACACCCTCCAATCCCTCAGGGAGCAGGTTTACGCCCAAGTTCAGTGCAGGAGACCCTCCAGCAGCCACAAGCACCCCAGGCCCCCAGCCGTGGTTCCTGGACACCCTTCCCCACTAACGGGACAAGAGAGAGGATGCCAGGAAAGAGGGGTTACGACCACACACACGCCTGGACACTGGCAAGGAGCCAGCCGAGTCTGGGACAGAGTCACGACCCTAAGGGGAAACACCTTGAATTTAAAAAGAAAAAAAGATCCATGAATCTACTTACTCAAAGAGCGCCGACAGACACCCAAGGTAGGGGTGTGTGAGTGGAGGGTCAGAGCCCACTCGGTGAGTCCTCAGAGCCCATCAAACACCCTGAGTCCACTGCTAGTCGGAAGGGGCCAGGGGTGCGTCCTGAGTGGGTGCCCCCAAACCCTCGGACTTTCCCAAGTGAGGAGCACCGTGCAGCCGTCCCCATTTGTTACTGGGGGCTCTGGAGAGCCCTGAGGGAGGGGCTGGATGCAGGCACCCCTCCACGCCGCTCCAGGGAGGGGAGAGCTGGAGTTCAGTCGCCAGCGGATGGTGACTGGTCCCTCGGGCCTGTCAGTGCCACCTCCATAAATGCTGAAAGGAATTCAAGCGTCTCTTCCATCGGCTGTCTGAGTCCTGTCCTTGGGTACCCCGTGCTCTCGTGAGTGAAGTGCTCCTGAGTCTCCCAGCTGCTCCAGCAAAGTCACAGAGCCAAGGACAGGGTCATGGAGCCTCCAACCAGGCTGTCGGAAGCACAGGTGACCACCTGGACTTGCCCTGGGGTCTTCAGTGGGTCGGGGGGGGGGGGGTCAGGTGGTCCTGCGGGTGTGATGCCCCCTGCAGGCCTGCAGACTGGCTCAGAACTGAGCTGAACTGCAGCACGCCCAGCAGGTGCCACAGAACTGCTGGGCCAGGGAAACCCATGCACAGGGGTCGGCGTCCGGCTCTCCCCTAATTTCCAGACACAGATTTCTGGGCTTCTCCTCACCCCAGATGCAGTTGCTGGTGATGTGCACATTGTTGCAAAGAACCAGCTCTAGAAGGTAATGGTTCTACATACATCCTTTTAAATCATTAATCTCTGCATTTCTCTTTATTGATACCATTGTTCTGAAGTTCCCTCCATCACATTTATTGGTCCTTTCCTATGCTCTTGAGCAATACTTCATTCCCTTTCACTTTCACTATGTCATCACCAGTATTAAAGGTATATGCTTTTCCCTGAGTTTAGTTCACGTCAGCTTCTGACATGTAATCTTTAAGCTTGACTTTTTGACCCAAAAGTTGAGACAGAAAGCTTGACATTTCTAGGTAATTAAGATCCTGTCCTTTTCCCCTAACTGCTCCACATCAGTTTATACAACTGCCCTGTGGACATATCCAACCTGCGGCACCGTCTCTCAACTTTACCTGAGTTCTGCTCTGCCGACTAAGAGACTCTTCTGTGACAAGGACACCTTCCTGCTGGCCCGGGGTCCACCCACGCGTGGCCTGAGACAGGAGCAGCTCACGCCCCCCACGCGGCCCGCCCCATGCCGCACCCTGTGAGTAAGGGGGGGTCTCGGCGACACCAGGCCCCCACCTGTGGGTTCCAGCCCGGTTCACACTGTCAGCAATCTGAACTCTCTGCTTTTCCGTCAGTGACGACAATTAGACCATGTCTTTGCCTCCAGACCTCGTGAATCCGGGTCCTCCTCCGAATTCTAAACCTCTGGCAGCGTCTGGGGGCCAGGAAGACGCGGTAGCATTCCTCGTGGGGCATCAGAGAGCACACAGGCCCAGCGCACGGGCACCGATGTTTCCACCCGAGACCAGAAGCAAGGCCCCCAGCGCCCTCCCGCCTGGCGCTGTCGGGCCCTCAGCCCGGAGCCCGCTCACTTACTGATGTCCGCCATCACCACCGTGTTGTCCATCGCCACATGCACAGCCAGGGCGCTCCAGGTGTCAAAGACAGCCAGCTTCCTACCGGGAAGGGGGGACAGCCCGATGAGCCTGCCTGGCCCGAGACGCGTGGCCACTGCCCGCCGGCGCTGCCCAGGGGAGGTCCTGCGAGGAGCCCTTCGGGGATCTCCTCCCAATCAGGCCAGCACACGGGCAAGAGTCAGAGGCCAAGGCCAGGTCTCGCCCAGCCTGAGGCAACCTGGCCACCCCCAGTCACCCCAGCCCTCGCCCCCCAACACGCTGAGCTGACAGAACAGAGGCACCGTGCTGGGTGGGCACCTGTGGCAGAGAAATTACTGTCTGAGAGGAGGGGGCTCTGTCTAAACTGAGGGCTCTGCAGGGGCTCCCAGGACCCAGGGGGGCACACTGGGATGAAGGAATCCATCCTCACTAAAAACAGATTCTGAGTCCTAAGACCACTCAGCACAGTGACCTCTAAGGAGCCTCCTAAGGGTCCTGCAAAGGACCCTGAGAGTTAAAGGCCCCTCATTCCCTTCAGCAGCAGAGATCCGGGTGAGTCTGAGCGCCCCAGGCACATACTTGAGGACTTGGGCGACGGTGTTGGGCCCATACCACTGGCCGATGGACTTGCCCTCACCGACTCCCATTTGTGCTGCAAGAGACAGAGCTGGTTGGCGAGCCTCATCCCCCGCGTCCCAAACTCCGCCCAGTCCCAGGACGAGCCCCCGCCTGGAGCGGCCCCAGACACTGGCTGGGAGGCCTGCCTCACAGGAGCTCCTGACTGTCGCCAGGACGTGGCCACCGCCCCCGCAGGGACCCCTTCTCTTCAAGGTGCACCCCTCAGGTCCCGCCCTAGCCCCATTGGGGGAGCAGACAGAGGCAGCGCGCAGGTCAGTGAGCACAGAGCTCCGCCCGCCCCCCACCCCCAGGGTGGAAACGGGACGCGACAAGCTGGCCGAGACAGCGGGGCGTCTGCACAGGCAGTGCCGCCATGGTGGGGCACCAAGGAGCAGCCTGCGAGGCCTGCAAGCTGCTGTTCACCAATGCCAGGCTGACAGCACATCAGCTCGGGCAGATCCCTGCCTCTCACCACAGGGGCGCCCTCGAGGCCCACACCCAATGACCCCCCACCTATCTGGTGGATGGAGTAGCAGCTGTCCTTCCTGTCCAGGAATGCCTGCAGGACACTGGAGTAGCTGTCTGGCTGCCTCTTCCGCTGCGTCCACCTCCAGTCTACAGGAGACAAACATGCAAGTTCAGTTTTACCAAATGCAAGTGAGAAGCCATCATCGTTATAAAGCACTTAAAACATACATGGTGCCCAAACTTCCTGAGAAACTCCCCAAGTGGAAGAACCGAGTTCCTCAGGATTTCAAATATACACATGCCAACACATCAAAGCAGATCCACACAGAAAATGGTTCGGTGATTTAAAAATCACTTCTGAAACACAAACGCTTATGAGTGTCTTCAAAGCCACTTTCTTTAATCAATGAAAACTTCGAGGCTGTTACAAAGAAATCCCGAAACACCAAGAGTGTGACTGTGATGTCTCCCCGCCCCGCCCTTGCCCCCCGAGAACGCAGCTGACCCCACGGAGACTCACCGCGGCCCAGGTGCCGACACACCAGGGCTTGGGCGAAGATCATCTGTCCACACCTCAGCATACAGCCCCAGCCCGTGTCCGAGGTGGGGCCGGTGCCCCCTGCGGTGGAGGGCGAGAGAGGCGAGCGCCATCAGACCCAGGTCCGGCCCTGCGCGGCTCACTCTGCACTGATGACCCGCTCACGCCGAGGGAAATGACTTCACGATCCCCTCGTTAGGGCCGATGTGTGAACAAGTCACAGAGAAACAGAACGTCTGGACACACGTGAAGAGACCTCAGCCTCACGAGTAATGCAGAGTGGGCACAGTGTCCCCAGGTGTGCGACAGGCCCCGAGGTGGAGGCGGCGGGTGCAGAGTGGGCAGAGTGCCTGCAGGCACAGCCTCGGCAGCACACAGGTCATCCCACCCTGCACAGCAGTCTTGCAGCACAGACCACGGACAGCAGCATAGACCACAGCCAGGAGAGCCGCTGAGCTCCGCCCTGACGGCCGCTCACACAGGCTGCCACAAGCCGCCCTGCCCGGGGATTCAGACAACAGACCTATGGGCAGCGTGGCCCGCCCAGTGGCTTCAGCCCCATCTGGGGCCCAGCAGGAGCAAGAGAGAGCCTGAGGTGTCTGACAAGCCTGCCACGGGATGTGGCCCTGGGGCAGGCAGGTGCCCCCAGCTCCCGAGCTCCGCGGACAGACAGCAGCCCCCTGAGGAGGGGCTGATGGAGACTGGCCGCCTCCTGGTCCCAGCCTCGGGCTCCGGCTCTCCAACAGGGGTGCCAGGCCCACCACCAGGGCCACAGTGAGGAGCCCTGGCTCGAGAGAACCTTGCTCTTCAGGGCCCAGAACCAAGAGCAGGACACACAGGGACAGCTCAGGGGTGCGAGCAGGGCTTCCCAGCTCCAACATGGGCCCAGCATGTAGGCACAGGCCTCCGGGAGCAGAGGCGGCCTCAGCACTGAGCAGGGCCATGCACTTCCTGCTGCGTTCCACTCTGCACAGTCAACGCCGGGTGTGGCTCACTGTCAGAAACATCACCGGCGCGGCAGGGCCAGGGGCACTGGGCTGCGATCGAGCTCCGCAGCCAGCAGGCGCAGACCTCGCCACGTCCGTAACTCGGGCTGCCCGAGGGTGACGCCGGGGACAAGCCCTTGACACTCTGAGATCCGCTTGGACCACAGGCTGTAGCAGGCAGTACTTACCAATGGCCGGGAAGTTCTTTCTGTACGTAAACCAGAGTCTCGACGTCACATCGGCCAAGATCTCGTCCTTTTCTAGAGGGTGAGAGGAGGAGCACGCACACACAGCGGTAAGCGCCCAGGGCCTGCGTCTTGGGAAGTCACAGACAGCTCACCGGCACGCCGCTCTCTCTGCAGGAGAGCAGGGCAGCTCGGCGGGTAGGGTTAGGGTTAGAGCTAGGGTTAGGGTTAGGGTTGGTTAGGGTTAGGGTTAGGGTTGGTTAGGGCTAGAGTTAGGGTTAGGGTTTAGGGTTAGGGTTGGTTAGGGCTAGGGTTAGGTTTAGGGTTAGGGTTAGTGTTGGTTAGGGTTAGGGTTAGGGTTGGTTAGGGCTAGGGTTAGGGTTAGGGTTTAGGGTTAGGGCTAGGGTTAGGCCTAGGGTTAGGGTTAGGGTTGGTTAGGGTTAGAGTTAGGGCTAGGGTTAGGGTTAGGGTTTAGGGTTAGAGTTAGGGTTTAGGGTTAGGGTTAGGGTTTAGGGTTAGGGTTTAGGGTTGGGGTTGGGGTTGGGGTTAGGGGTTAGGCTTTAGGTTAGGGTTTAGGATTAGGGTTAGGGTTAGGGTTAGGCTGTACCTGTGAGGACGCTGTACTTCTTCCCCAGGATCCAGACAGGCTCCGAGGTCTCAGGGAAATCCTCAAACTCAGCGAATCGCAGCGTGTCGTAGGTCAGAGTAGCTATGGAAACCAAAGACACACTCTAATGGCCGTTTCCTGATTTTATAAACGAGATCAGAGATCACGCACAGCACCTCTGCACAGAGAGCGCATGTGGCGTTTGGGGGCTTCGGCGCCGGGCAGCAGCCCCGCCCCCGCCTCCTCAGCCTCTAGGGTTCCAGGCAGAGCCAGCACCCAGCAGACAGCAAGGGGAGAGGGCAGCAGGCCCAGGCCCACACAGCAGAGGGGCCGCCTGTAGTGCCCGAGATACGGGTTTGATCCCTGGGCCAGGATGATCCCCTGGAGAAGCGAATGGCTACCCACTCCAGTGTTCCTGCCTGGAGAATCCACAGACAGAGGCCCCTGGCGAATTCACGGACAGAGGCGCCTGGCGGCTACTACAGTCCTCAAGGTCACAAAGAGTGGGACATGAGTGAGCAACTAACACTTTAAGCCCCTAACTGTTTCAGACTGGAACCTAAACAACAAACACAGATGGGCCCAGACCTCCATCTCTGCAACGCAAGGCTGGTCTGGACGGCACGCAAGGCACAGCAGCAGTCCAGCAGTGCACAGCGGGCCAGGACACCACTCTGGAAACCAGCTCGAAGCCCGGAACCCTGGCGCCAAGCAGCCTGGAGCCTGGGGTGCACCCCCACTTCCTGCAGAGCTGCACGTACGCCGTGTCCACCTGTGGGCCGCCCACCACCTGGCTTCAGAGATGCCCAAAGCCTGGTGGACACCCTCCCTCTGCCCTGGGCTCCCAAAGCAGCAGCTCGGCCACGCCCATGGGGCGCCCCAGGCACCCTGCTCCTGGCTGTCACCTCACCAGCTCCGACAGCGCCCCCATCCCCTCCACCCGCAACTCCTTTCAGCTCTCCGGAAAATCAAAGACATGAGATGAGCTTCTCCCACACCTGGCTTTATTTTTCAGTAACAGCCCTACTTTTTGGTAAACAAAAACAATTTACTAAAACAAAACAAAAAAATCCAAAGGCCACAAAACATAAAGTATCAGCTGCAGCCTCGTGCTTCCTTGCAGAAGCCGTCTGTGCCGACTCACAGATGGGCCAGGCCCTGCCTGCATTTCTTTGTCCAGAGTCCCGGTGCCTCACAGCATCCAGCCCGCACCCCCAGCCCCGGGAAAGGTGGGCAGAGGAGCACGGGTCCCTGTGGGGCCCTCACGGCTGGGGGTGCCTCTGGGTGGGGAAAGCTCCTCGCCCGTCACTAGAACATGTGACAGGATGCCCTGCAGCACAGCTGGGACGCAGCCCTGAACCTTCCCGAGAGGGGCTCACGAGAGGCCCGCAGACAAAGGGCTCCAAGGTCAGCGTGCATCGCCAACGTCAAGGACAAAGACACGCGGCCTGCCTGCCCCAAACGGCTCCACTGCTGCTCAGCCAATCTGAGGTCCCAGGGCGCGGAGAGTGCTCTCGACACCACACACCGGCAGCAAGAGAGGCCCTGTGCTCAGCACACGCCAGGAATTCCCCAGCTGCCAGGAGCCAGCTCTGCCTCCTGCCCATCGCCCGAAAACCCACGGGCTCAGAGGGGTCCTGTGCTTCCGGGGCGAGGCCACCTGCTCTGAGGACCTGCCTCATCCGTGCGTCCCCCGCATCCACCAGGCTGGCTCGCAATCAGGGATTAATAAGTCAACCTCCAAGTTTCTCTCCAGCCCTTTCCACGTAGGGTTCTCTGTTTGTGCATGTGATTATAAAAACCGAGCGGGAACGAGCTACAGTTCTGTCTTCTCCAAGAGAGAACACATCTGTGTCTCTGCCCATGGGAGCCGTCTCCACATCTTCAGAGGGCACGGCCTTCTCAGACCTCGAGGTTTACACACCTGTGGACTCAGGCCCGCCAGGATGACTCCAAAGGTGCAGCGCCAACAGAACCTGTCTGACCTCAGCCAACAGCACTGCAGGGCAGTGACACTCACCCTGCAGGACCACAGCCCAGAACCCAAGGTGGACCTGCCTACCAAGCCCTGAAGCGCTCCGGGGACAAAGCGACACACACACATCAGAGGGCCCTGGGACGTTCTGGAGACAGCCAGCCTCCAGTGAGATGAGCAAGAAGAGGAGACACGGCTGCTCTGAACGCCAGTGACAGCAGCCGCCCGCAGTGGGCGGGTTCTCACCCAAGAAGGCACGCGCGAGGAAGCAGGCACGACTCTCAGGGTAAAGCGCTGACTTTATAGGCAACACAGCCAACTTCAGAGGGAAGGGGAAACAGGTGTCCTCCCTGTTAACACATCACCGAGTCCCCCGCTGTGACTAACACTAACAACATTACAGGCTTGGCAGCCTCTCAGTCTTCACCGCCCAAGGCTCCTGAAGGGACCACGTGGGCAGGAAGCTGACAGGGGTCCCGCTCGCCCACACCTCCCGCTCCTCCTGGAGGCGGGACCCTTCCGGGCACAGGTCATGGCTCCTCTCACATCAGCCAAGGACGCCCCAGGCCGGGCTCCCCTCTCTGCGTCCTGTGGAGCGCCCGGGGGTCTGCAGTCCACACCCTCCTCCTCTATGCCAGTTAATTCACTGGCAGAGCAGGAACCAGAGAGAGAAACGGATCAGCAGGTGCAGCAAGGCCCTGATCCTCCCTGGGGGGCACAGGGAGGGCAGCACACCCATCTCCACAGTCCGAGCTGCACCACCCCCAGGGACAATGTCCTCCAGAATCAGCCCGGTCACCCAAGTGACCTGACCAGCCCTGGCCCCGAGAATGGGCCCGCCCACCAGCGCCAGCACAGGTCCAAGGACCTGTCGCTGCGGCCAGAGCCAAGGGCTTCTTAGCCTGGCGGGGGGGGGCACGAGCTGCCACCCCCACCACCACCCCTGACCTGAGGCCCGGCCTCTGCAGTGAGGGAAGGACAGACCCCTCCGAATTCCACTCACTTCTGCTCTTCGACTTTCTATTGAGATCTGATGCTAGAAACCCCGAGAACCCACCTGCTGGCTGACACACGACTCACAATTCTGAGCCTCTGTTTCTTCACCCAGGAACTAGGGCGAGCGGCCAGCTCTGCCCACAGGATGAGAACGCAGGCTGGCGCCAGGGACGCGGGACCCCAGCCCGGCTCTTAGCACCCTCTGGCCCCCTCCCCGTGAGCTCAGGCCGTAAGGCGTGTCCGAGGAAACTCAATTCCCCCTCCGCCAAACCAAACGCCACTGTTGTTCGTTTTCAGTATTAATTTAGCCAAAATATGTTTTCATGCTTCTGTGGGACAGAAAACACTGCAGAACACAAGGTCAGGAAAGACTTCAATAGAAACTCTGATACCTTCCCATTTTTAAATGAACGTTCACAATCACTAAGCCTCATACAGACCGAACCACAAGAGGAGTCCACCCTCAGAGGTTCCTGCACTGACTCACCCTCAGACTGACCAGCTCCACCGGCTCAGGACCAGCAGTCTTCACACCCGACCCGGAGGAGGCCTCGTCTCACAACACAGACCCGCGAGGGGAACCTCAGGATCATCTATGAAGCTCACACACCTCCTGAGTTAAAAGGAGCCCGACTTCCCAAAGAATGCCAGTCTAGAGATGCTCGGGTACTGACTCTGATTTGAAGTAAGAGGACACAGTAGAAGCAAGACACGCACCATCCACTTTGAGAAAGAAGGCTTTTAGAAATACTTTTTTCCACCTAGTCATCTCTTCCTCCCAAGGGTGTCTCTGATCACACCAGGAAGAGAAAACAGAAAGTCCACTAACAGAATGGCAATTCTATTTTTTAAATGTTTCCATTTAATGTTATTAACATGATTGAAAAATAGCAAACTGTGCTCAATAAACATAACCAGATGACTTAGTCTCAATTACACGATAACTCAACCAGGGAAAAGCACAAAAAATATGCACCATTAGAATTGTTTAGAGCTTAGTATAATGTACCACACTTCAAAGAGATTTTCCCAAAACATGTATATTTCTGAGAGATTATATTTTGTAAATACGTGTTATACTTTGTAAATACGTGTTACGTATACTTTTAAAATAAAACCAAAAGAAGGGTCTTCTCTTCTTTTCTTCCATACTAAAATGCTTATGTTTAAAATAACAAGTTTGCAAGTTATTTTTTTTTCAAATCCCAAATAGTTTATATGAAAATACTGGCACTGGAAGGACTGATGCTGAAGCTCCAATATTTTGGCCACCTGATGCTAAGAGCTGACTCATTAGAAAAGACCCCGATGCTGGGAAAGATTGAAGGCAGGAGAAGGGATGACAGAGGATGAGATGGTTGGATGGCATCACTGACTCAATGGACATGAGTTTGAGCAAGCTCTGGGAGGTGCTGATGGACAGGGAAGCCTGGCTTGATGCAGTCCATGGGGTCACAGAGAGTGGGACACGACTGAGTGACTGAACAGCAGTTCTCAACGAAAACAGGAAGGGAAGGAGATCAGTGGAAGGGAAGGAAAGCTGGAACTTCAGGGGCACCAGGACACTGCCCAGGCCACTTTAGTGAACTCACCAGCTGGCCCCCAGTGAGCCTGACTGCCCTCCTCATCCGCTACATGTTACACCAACATGCAGATTTCCATTATACACAAACCCTGCAGCCCGGGAACACCCACAGGACAGGACCATGTGCATCACCAGCAACTCAAGTTACACTTCTTCCATCACCAACCACCTGTCAGACACAGGCAAAGCCCAAAGATGAAGCACAAGACACCAACTCTGTCCTCAAGGAGCCGACAGCATGTCAAGCTCAGTGCCAACCAGAGCGCATTCTGAGGACGGGCCTGGGGTCTGCCTGCCGCCCGCAGCCTGGCAGCAGCTCTGGGCCTCCAGCCCCGCCTCCCCTCCCACTCAGGCCTGTAGAGACCTCGCCCAAAGCGGCCCCACACACGTCTACCTCCAGCCCAGGCCTCTGCCCTCAGCTCCACGCCTGCAGACCCGAGGCTCCCTGGACAATACACAGACGTCCAGCAGGTGCCTTACTCTCACCCCGTCCAAGACCCTCCTCCTGACATCTCCCGGGCAAGCGGAGCTCCCCAGGTCTCCCCGCCTGCATTTCCCAGCTCAAGCCACAGACCGCGGCATTTCAAACGCCGCTCAACGCACGGCTGGCCCTCACACTTCCCACCACCACAGCCCTCCTGCCCCGACCTGCAGAGGCACTGATTTCAACCCCTCTCCCCACGAGGACCGAGCCCTCCAGGTTGGCGCCTGGCTCACTGCAGCGGCTTCCTGACGGGCCTTCTGCTCCTCTGAAGCAGAGCAGCCAGTGCGAGTCACGTTACTCCTCCTTGGAAAAGCCCCCAACGCAGTCCCGTCCCACTCACATGCCCGCCCCACGAGCCAACAAGGCCCACGACCAGACCTTGTCGCTACCCTGCCTTCAGTTCGCTCACCCCCACCCACTGCACCCTGGCCACTGGTCACTCCCGGAGCAGACCACATGCCCCTCCCCCTGCGCTGCTTTTGAGTCCCGGTCAAAACTGGCTGCCTCTGTGGTGAGATCTTTCCAGGCCATCCTGGTGATTCCAACTCCCTCCTGCTTGGCCCACAGCACTCTCCCACAAGCCACACTGTGGTGTCACGTCTAACATGTCAGTCAGGACACGCTTTTTATCTATTTCGTTCACTTCTCTAGTCCCAAGATCTAGAACAATGCCGGAAACAAACCCACACTCAGTAATAAACACAGCTATTGAGCCGATGACTGTAAAAACCACGAGAACTGCATAACGTTTGCCCAGGAAGGCAAAACCTGTAAGAACTCTGGGAATCAGGGCAGGCTGGACATTAATGATCCCAAAGGACGCACAGCATCAGGTCAGAAAGAAAACTGATCCACAACACCCTAGAGGCACAGACGTCAGCAGAGGCCCTCACATGCAAACATCTCTGTTTTGAAGCAGGGATCAGGGTCCCATGAAAGTTCCATCATATGGCTGCTCTTAACTTGAACATGACAGTTTCCACGTTCAAGGTAAGATGACCACCATAAAACCGTGCTTTCTACCCTAACTGAGTCTCTCAAGGGATGGTCTTAGTAAGTAAATAATTCTATTCCTTCCCCCACCCAGGGGCGTAGTCCTTTTTGTTTTAAACAGCTTCACAACACATCTGGTTAACATCACGTTTTGGGAATCATGGCTACCATCTCCTTCTACTACCTAACACATTGAACTGACAAGATGCCACAAATCACTGAAACATTGGCCATAAAGGTCTATGTCACAGCTTCCAAACTGAGAGTCCAGTAAATGTCTATTGCAGCTGCTGTCCAGGAAGAGAGAAATGAAGCAAAAACAAAGTCATCCAGGATGACAGGGAGAATTAAGCCAGAGGAGAGTCTGTACCGTTGCGAGGGTTCTTAACACAGATCACTTCCTACAGATTTTATAAAAGGAATAACCCTGCTGTGGGATGGAAAAAGAAGGCCTTTCGAGGTGTAAGAATGCTTTCAAGGATACTGCACAAAGATCCCCAATAGCGTTCCAGCAAAAATTAAAGAAGTGTCCCCTCCGCAGCAGAAACACAATGAAAATAGACGAAAACAGCACACACACACAGATACACACATATGTACGGATGCGCGCACATCCTCCCAACCCAGTCCCCGCACACTCTGCATTGCTGTTAAGCTCCCAAAAAGTTGAGACACGATGAGGCGGAGTCAGTCTGTCCTTTCAATCACGGGGAACGCTGGGATCATTTATTGGTTACTGAATTTGAAGAAGTAAAAAAGCGTGCGTTTTGAGTACTGAAGTATGTCGTTCGCCTGCAGCCTACCTACGTACTTTGTGAGAGTTGAAGTTTCCCCTTAACTCCGGGCGGGGGGGGACAAAAGCTTCCAGCCGCCGCGTCAGAGACCTGCTCCGCCTGCCCCGCAGCACCTCCCGGGGCCCCCGCCCGCGCCCCGCGCCGCCCCTACTAGTCCCGGCCGCCCTCGGGCCCCTGGGAGCGGCCGCCAGGGCGCCAGACACGCCGACCCTGACTGGGCTGTCAGACCCTAACCGGCCGCCCGTAGACGCCGCCCGCGCCCCGCGCCGCCTCAGGGCCGCGCCCCGCCCCGCGCCCGCGCCCGCGCCCGCGCCGCGCCGGCGAGGCCCCAGCCCAGGCGCCGGCGCGCAGCGGCTCGGCGAGGGCCTCCCCGGCGGCCCCACTCACCGCCGGCCCTCACCTGCGTCCATCTTCGCTCCAGGACCGCCGACTGAGCGCGGCGTCGCTCCGACGGCTCCGCAGCGCGACGCGACGGGCCGCCGCCCGGGCCAATCCGGGTCGCGCGGCGCGGGCGCGGGCGGGGCCGGAAGTACGGGGTCGGAAATGCACGACCGCGGCGCTGCCGCCATCTTGGCGTACGGCGCGCCCGGCGTGGGGGCCCGGGCCCGGGCTCTCGGCCTCCTGGCGGCCTGCGTCGCGCCCCCGGGGATTCCCGCGGCGACCCGCCGCGGCCGCGGAGGCCGGCGCTAGAGAGCCGCAGGGCGCCGGGGCGGGCGGTGGGCCGGCAGCGCGCGCGCGCCCGCCGGGGCGGCCATCTTGCCGTACGGACGCGCCCTGGGCGCCATGTCGCCGGCGGGCGCTGCAGGCTCTGGGCGCCCCCGCCCACCCCCGGCCCCGCGCGTCTCGGGCGGCGCCCCTCCTGTCGCCGGGGCCCTCGGGCGGGCCGAAAGCCGGGCCGGGCTGCCGGGCAGCGGGCGGCCGGGCGCCGCCATCTTGCCGTACGGCGGGGGCCGCGGGGCCGGCTCCCACGTCCCGCAGCCGTGTCGCCGCGCGCCCTCCCCTCGGGGCGGTCCCGCTCGGGTCTCGGCGCGGCGAGACGAGGGCCGGAGCCTGGCGGCTGCGCGGCGGCCCGAGGCCCGAGATGGTGATCTGCTGCGCGGCCGCGAACTGCTCCAACCGGCAGGGCAAGGGGGAGAAGCGCGCCGTCTCTTTCCACAGGTAAGCGGGCTCCGCCCGCCGCCGCCGGCCCGCCGTCCGCGCGGCCCGCCGGCCACGCCCCCGCCCGGCCCGACCCGGCCCGACCCGGCCCCGCCGGGCGAGTGAGGCGGCGCGGCCCGGCCGGACGCTGGGGCGCTCGGGGCGCCGGCCCCGCGAGTGAGTCAGCGCGGCGCTGTGTGACCTTGGCCCGCCGGCGTCTCTGGGCCGGGCGCCTCGGGCCACCGCGTCCCCCGCTGCCCGGGACCCTCGGCCGCTCGTAGGCCGCCGGACCCCCTGAGCCGCCGGGGTTCGGGCTGCCACCGCCAGGCTCCGGAGACAGGGCGCGCGGGGGACGCGCTTCCTCGGCGGGGCCGTCCTCTCGCGCCCGCCGTCACTTTGCTGCCGTTTCCGTCGCGGGGAGCCCGCCTGGACCTCTGGATCGGGACGTGGCCGAGCAAACGCACCCCGAGCCTCGGGGACTGACGCGCGCCCGAACGCTGTGTTCTGGGGGCCCTCTGGACAGCCCCGGGTCCCGGGGGACGCCCGGCGGCGTCCCGCGTGCTGCCGGCCCGGCCCGCCCCCGCCGGGGCGCCGCTGCGAGTCGTGGCGCCGCGGAGGGTGGCCCGGGACGGGGAGGGGGTCGGCCTTCTCTCTGGCCTGGCCCGCTCCGGGAAGGCGCTGGGACTCAGCCCATTTCAGCGAGTGGTTTTCTGCGACCTCCCCGCCTGCGGTATCAGAACGTGAGCAGAAGAAACTCTACCTGAACAGCCTCCCGCCGCAGACTTTTCTCTTTGCTATTGCAGGGGGATGTTTAAGTTTCCAATACCTGCACGAAGGCTGTTTAGAGTCTCACTGGAAGTTGAAGTTGGTTAGCGCTAAGCCTCAAATCGTCACAGTCTATTAAGATAGTACTAGGTTACTGCAGATGTCAGTTCCCTGCTTTCTCAAGTTCCCTCTAGAGCCAGTAGTTTTCTCACCTGGGAACTGGGGGTGCGGCAAGAGTCTTAGGTAATGAGCTCCCAAAGCAGTGAGGAAGTTTAGAAGGTCGGAGTTGCTGGAACTTGCTGAGGAGTTGGTATTCCAGCTGCCCACCCCCCCACTCGCCGCGGGTCCTGGTCCCACAGCGCTCAGGTGGGTTAGATGGACTCAGGTGCGGGGAACAGCCGTCCAGAGTGGCCGCACCACCCCAACACTTGCATGTGCAGTTTCACTAGAGTTTTCAAAATAAAGATCTGGCCTGAATGAAGAAAAAAAATGTTTATTAAGTATCTTATTCAGTATCTTCCAGGGGCTGGTTGCTTTTTAAAGGGAGCAGTCTGACTCCTGGTGTGTTGGGAGCCCACGGCCTCCTCTTAGAGCTGTCTCACACCCTCAGCTCCTTGAGCCACAGCTGGGACACCTTGGGGTGGGGTGCTCTCCTGGCCTCATGCCCCCATCTCTGTTGGCTGACACCGGACCTGATTTCTAAGTGGGGGCGGGAGTGCCCATGGGCAGCCATCCTTCCTCCTCTTAGCTAGTCCAGAGTCCTGCATCCCAGCTCACCGGGAGGGCTGGCCTGCTGTGAGCTTCTAGGAACTACTTCCTGGAGCCTTTCCTGCTGTCGCGATGCCATCCGGCTCTGTCTCTCCGAGTACTCTGTGTCCCTGCAGGTTATTTACTGCAGCCTAGGAGGAGGTATTCGCCTTCACCTCTGATTTGCCCCATGGACTCTAGCTCCTTAAAGATAGGCAGAGCATGTCTCACCTTTCTGTTCCACTAAGAAGTTGCAAGTACAAGGTGTTCTTTAGATCTTTACTAAGTTCGTAAATGGGAAAGTCAATACAGGTCTAGCTATTTGTAAAAAGTGTTATTCTCCTGTTATAGTTAATAGTATTAGGGGGAGGCCTTTTAATTATTTTTTTTGTAATTTGTTGTTTATCCTGCAGATTCCCCCTAAAGGACTCAAAGCGTCTGATGCAGTGGTTGAAGGCTGTTCAGAGGGATAACTGGACCCCCACTAAGTATTCTTTCCTCTGCAGTGAGCACTTCACCAAAGACAGCTTCTCCAAGAGACTGGAGGACCAGCACCGCCTGCTCAAGCCCACGGCTGTGCCGTCCATCTTCCACCTGGCGGAGAAGAAAAGGGGGGCTGGAGGCCATGGCCGCCCCCGGAGAAGGGACACCGGGAAGGCCTCGGCGGGTCTAAGGGCACAGGCGAGTGACACCGCGGACGGGAAGGCAGCTGCAGGGTCGCCGTCGTCCTCAAGTGCAAACCCAATGGCCAAGCCGGAGCCCCGCAAGCTGAAGCGGGCCCCGCCGCAGGGCCGAAGCGCGACCAGGGCCTCCCGGGAGGCTGCTGGTCAGGAGCGGGTGCGGCAGCCTCCAGGTGGACATGCGGAGGGCGGTCTGGCCTCCGCGGCCACCTCCAGCAGCCAGGGAGAAGCCAGCACAGGGGCTGTGGATGCTGGTGACGAGGGCGCCACCCCCGCCAACAGGTGGGAAAGGAGCGGCGTTTCCGCGGATGACTTCACGCCCCCGGGCTCCGGGGCCTGCAAGTTCATCGGCTCGCTTCACTCCTATAGCTTCTCCTCCAAGCACGCCCGAGAGAGGCCGGCCATCCCCCGGGAGCCCGTGGAGCGGAAGCGGCCGAGGAGAGACGCTGAGCCCGGCTGTAGCGGGAGCAGCCCCGGGCCCGAGAAGGGGCCAGCGCAGAGCCCTCCACGCGCCTGCCCCTCGGCGAGCTCCTCGCTCACCGCCACGCCGCAGAAGCCGGCCCAGGGTGCCTCGGCGCCTCCCACCGACGTGACCCCGAAGCCTGCAGCCGAGGCCGTCCAGAGTGAGCACAGCGACGCCAGCCCCATGTCCATCAACGAGGTCATCCTGTCAGCGTCAGGCGCCTGCAAGCTTATCGACTCGCTGCACTCCTACTGCTTCTCCTCCCGCCAGAGCAAGAGCCAGGTGTGCTGCCTACGGGAGCAGGTGGAGAAGAAGAACGGCGAGCTGCGGACCCTGCGCCAGAGGGTCAGCCGCTCGGACAGCCAGGTGCGCGAGCTGCGCCAGAAGCTGGACCAGCTGCGGAGGCTGAGCCTCCCTCACCTGAGCAGCCTGCTGCCCCCTGGCCGCGGTCAGTACCCAAGCCCCGCGCCGCGGGCATCACAGAGGGCTTCTCTGGGGCCCAGGGGCCCCCGTGCACTATCTCCCGGTCCGTCCGGAGGGACAGGAGCTGGGGTGGCAGCTGCAGCTGAGGGCTTTAGCCAGTGCAGAAGGGGGTGTGGGAGACCCAGGCCCACCTGGAGGGGCCTGGCGAGGGAGGCCCTTCCCCTCGCACGCCACAGGCCAAGTCCTGGGGAATTAGGTCTGAGTTAAGACAGAAACTGTGAACCGCCAGAGAGATGAGAAGAGAGTAAATCAGAGGGAAGTCCTTTTCGGTTGTGTTGTGACAAATATTCCTGACGTTAGATAGTTGTGAACGTTAATGCTAACCTTAAGATTGCGAACGCCTACTGAAGTAGAGTACGTTCTCTTAAGAACATTACAGAAACTTGCAGGCTGAGAAGACACCCCTTTCCCATCTGGCTTCCCAGGTGGCTAGACTAGTTTTTATGCTTTTATTTATGTATCTTTGTATCTATACAAATAGGTTGGATATATATTTTATATGTTATCACTTATGTTTCTGCTTTCCCTCCTAATTTGCTGTTTGTTTCTTGAAAAATTTGTTGCGAGGGTAGTGTCTCTCGCTGGTCAAGTGTATGAAGGTGGAAACTATTTTCCTCCCACGTTGTGCATTTAGTCTGAATCCGCGCTTGTCTTCTGGGTTGTAATTAACTGCAGGTGAGGAAAGGCTACCATGTGACACAGGCTCTTCAGGGTTTCCTGGACCCCACCCAGGGCCACAACCAAAATCCAGCAAAACCCAAACCTGTCCTGATGTGCTGGTCACAGTTACACACTGCATTCTCTCCTAGTGTTTTTGAAGCAGTTTTGTAGTTTCTCGTACCTAGTAACTACTTTCTGGTACTTTTTCTGTTCTTCTTGGTCAAATGGCCCTAAGTTTATCACTGGTAGCAGTTCTTCCCAAGCCACCTGCACTGATCCAGTCTCCGTTGTTTTTTCTTCTTCATTCATCCTCATTTCTTTCTGCTCTCCTGCATTCATGGCTTTTCTGCTTCTGGAGGGCAATGCTGACTCCTTTGAGACAGTGCGTGTTTCCCAATCCTGCAGGTGAGGCTGGCCCCTTCTGTCGCTTTGGCTCTGCGCTGCACACCCACCTCCCGCTGCTTTCTGGGCTGTT